AATCTCATTTAGAAGTATATTGAAGTAGTACAGAACATAATCGGCATGGAAGAAAAGATTTATATTGACCGGACGTTATATATAATTTTTGGGGAGTGCAACAGGATACATCTCTCTACGTAATTTTCCTCCTATTATTAACAAATTTTGACCCATTGCAGATTTATCGTTGAAAACACTGTAGCTTGGGATTGTGCTTTTTATTTAAAAATCGCATCGTCAAAATATCATATGACTTTAAAAAAGAATACTATTCGGACCACCCCATATAAGTATATATAGTACTTCACTGTGTAAAACGGTGGTGTTAACAACTTTTTGAGTACACAGAGTAAATCGCTACACTTATTGACTCTATTGCAGTCGATTTTATTGAACTGTAAATTTTTTAAATGTACCCCATCACCATAAAGGGTTACTCATAAGCCCTGCCTTCACTTCTTGGACATAGTCGTGGATGGTTATCTGATAACAGTTGTTGCCAGCCAAAACTTTCCACGAACTAGAAATGGTGTTCATTAAATAAAAAATAAATGTGGTCTAAAGTCATTAAAGGGCTAACCACAGTCTTGACAACCTCGGATGTGGAGATGGAAAAGACGCAATTATAAGCTACAGGCAGACAGTCGGCCAGTTGAAGGACTTGCAAGATCTGAACACTGTATTTTTTCAAGTCTATGAACACATCTTTTGTCGACATTTGCATTTAATTATGGATTTTAATTGCATGTAGCCGCTGTCTTGTCCCTCGTTTTTCCCTCTTGGGCAACGACAACTACGCTTGGGTAAATATTTTTGAAAACGCCAACCGAGAACTACTAGTTTACGAAAATTGGGCTACTTAATACTCCGCCTCGTTCAATGGAATAGTGCATTGAGGCTCTGCCTCTCTTCCTCTCTTTAAATCTACCTTTTTGATGACCACTTTAGTCGATTGTTTTCCGCACAATGTTTTAGGCATGAGTGAATTCTTTGGCTTCATGTCGATGCACTCGTCAATTAGGTATTCCCCCTTTTCTTGCTATTGCCATACAAAATTATGCAAAAAAAGTAATGCAAATACTCGTACACATACTCGTATGTAGTATGTGTGTGTGTTTACTTTTTGCTGCAAGTTTCTTACACACGCTCTGGCGGAAATTGTGGAGGGAAAATGTGTGCGCATACCGACTTGGCTAGGCGGCGCCTTTTAAAGAGACACAGATACAGGTGGCACAGATAACAAATCTGTAAATCAGCTAAAAGGCGATTTATTTTCCTCATTTCATTAGCAGCTGCAAAAGTTGGGTTGACTTTAAAAGGAAGGAAGCGAAATGCGTAGTGAGGAAAAGTTTTTCTAACTAGATGCAGCGGACTTTTCAAATGCATTTTTCTCTAAGATGGAGAATCCACAAAGCAAAAGCACCTTCTAATTTAAACAGGGCCTCACTACTTAAGATTAAAAAATTAAAAATTTTATATGTGGTTACACGACTTTATTCCATTTAGCACGATTCATTTTGCATATCATCAATGTCGTTTTTTACACGGTTTTTTACACGACTTTTATGAACCAATCTACCGTGTAAAAATAGAATTAGGTGTATATTCCCCGTAATTGTGATCTTTACGGTTCACAAAGCAGTTGAAGAACTATTTTTGAGGGTGTGTTGAAAGTCGAATCGATATATATGTATGTCCATCTGCCCTTGTTTCGGGATTAGCGATATCGTAAGAAAATGTTAAGTTTCTTAATTCAGAAACATTTATTGAAACCAGCCGGATCGGACAATAACTTCAGATCACAACATCCAGTAGTTTTCACATTTTTTCCAAATTGTTTTTTCTAAAAATGAATGCATGTTTATATAGTTTATAAATAGTATATACAGTAAAAACGCTCTTAATGGACACCTCATTTATTCGAACACCCCTCTTGGACGGAACCTTTTTTTGTCCGGTATACTCACAAATATTCGAGTATCTCTTGAAGCGGACACTTTCCTTGGGTGGACAAAAGTTGGCCGATGGTGAGTGTCCGCCTACGAGAGTTTTCACTGTGTCTGTCTATAGGAACAAACTGTTTCAAGGATATAAAATCTCTGGGTCCTGAATGTAACGTAGGTTCTTGTTTTGTCATCAGCTCAGAAGAAACTTTTTATGTTTTGTAAGAGCGATTGTTTTCAATTTTTGAAACTGAACCTCGTTCTATAAGATCTAGGGTATGTATATCCTGTTGCGTAATATGTTTTGATTATTTGATATTTTATTTTCAATTCCAATTGTTTAAATCGCTTTACGATTTAAGTTTTGATTCAAACATGAACCGGTTACTTATAATGGAGATTTGGTTTGTGGCGAGTAAGCATTTGCAACAAATTCGTTATCAAACTGTGTTTTTTTTTTTTTTTGCAACAAAGACAATCCCTCTAGCGCCTAGAGGGACTTTATTTTTGGTAAAAAGTTAATATAAATAAAGATTGTAAGCTCCTAGTATTGTTGACGACAAATATAAACGTTTGCGTATTAAACAGCACGCAACTTTTTTGCGCTAAAACTTAGTTTAATGGATTTAATTTGTTGTTGACGCCACTTCTGCATTTGTGTGCAGCTTGTGTCACAAAAATTGAATTAAATTAACTTTCAAGCGTTATTTATGGCCGTTGTTCGGGAACTGTTGCAAAGTTTTAAGCGGCGAATAAATTGTGCAGCTTTTTGTTGCACGGCGGTGTGGCAGGTCTTGCTCTTGCTTTTGACAACAACTGCCAACGATGTGGCTGTCGTTTTTATGTTTTGGAATTGGTTGTTGCTGCAGTTGTTAAACAATAATTGCAGTCATGTCTTGGGCAGCGGAAATGCAATGCCAACTGTGCCTTTTCTTTTATGCCAGCTTTTTATACCCTGTACCCAAAAGGGTACAAGGGTATATTAGTTTTGTGCGAGTGCACATGGAACACACAGAAGGAGGCTTGGTAGACCCCACAAAGTATATATATTCTTGATCAGCATGACAAGCCGAGTCGATATAGCCATGTCCGTCTGTCCGTCTGTCCGTCTGTCTGTCCGTCTGTCTGTCCGTCTGTCCGTCTGTCTGTCTGTATGAACGCAAGGATCTCCGAAAGTATAAGAGCTAGAATAACCAAACTTGGTATACAGATTCTCCTGAGACCGAGAAAGGACGAGTTTGTTCATTTTTTCTGATCCACCCCCCCACTCCCCCCCTATTAACGATTTTCTATAACTTCCGTAATTCTTGGAATTTTGAAATTTGGTAGTCACATTAGGTTAGTTATTATATAACCGTATACCAAGTCTCATTATGATAGAATGATCGGAAAGAAAGTTATAGCCATATAACCAGGCCCAATGCACACATACATACATATGTACAAGTACACAAACACGCATAAGGCACGATTCTGATGTAAATGTAAATGTATGTATGCATGCATGGAATATTTTATATTTAATTTAGTTAATTAATTAAATTAATTTAGTTAATTAATTAAATTTAATTAATTAATTAATTTAATTACTTTTTTGTGGGGTGGTACAGGGTATTTAAGAGTTGAGCCTGCTCGACTTTAGCATTCCTTTCTTGTTTCGCTTTGTACTTATTAACATTTTCCAATTCGCACTCCCTTCCTGCCGGCGCTGTGGAAACTGCGAATTCCTGCAGCTTAGAGCCGTCCCAAATTTGTGAGGCGCCCCCAATTAGTGTGGCGCGCGAGTGAGGAACGTGCAACGGAAGTCGTGTGTTCAAATGTGGCGACGTCTAAAGGAAATTTCACCCACTTAGTGAAAAAAGCGGCGCATAAATTTTGCAAGCTGCCTTGGCTCGTTTCGCCGGCTGGCTGGCTGGCTGCCTTCGTTTTTTGTTTTTCGTTCCTATTGTGTCGGTGGTTTTCCACTTGATTTTCCAATTTTCATTGTTTCTGTTTAGCGGGGCATGCATGGCGCGTCAGAAATTTGCGCAATAAGTTCGCAGCTTTGCGCGTTTTTGAGTGCTTCATAAAGAGTTTTGAGTTTTTGAAATTTACATTTAATTTTTTTCCATTTCTATTGAGGCACTTGAAAACGCATTGTGCGAAAACCAGCGGCCGAAACCTCAATGGCCAACTCAACAAGTCAGCTCAATTAATACGCCACTTGACGGATTTTTATTTTCATTTTCAGCCCATAGTTAACATGTCCGATTGTGGTTGGATAGTAATTGTTCGAGATCAAATATAATTCGATAAACAAACAAGTGAAAGCGAACGAGCAGAACTTTAAAGTCGTGCTAGCCCGACTTTTGAATCCATTCCACCCACTCCTATCTCCCCTACAGCCATTCAACTGAAATATACTCTGTTGTACCAACCAATGCTATGTTCATAGGAAACTCATAGATGCCCATCATAGTTTGGTTACGATCGTAAACTAAGTTCCGAGAGCGATTTTTGAACAATTCGTTTCTACATACTTGTATATTCCACATAGCATTTCTATATACTTTTTTATTTATGATGGTCGATTGTGGTGGAACTTTAAATTATTATAAATCATTTTATAAGACTTGTAAATACCACAATGTGAGTTCGTTTCCTGTTTCAAATCACGCCGCAACCACCATGACAGCAGCATGATTAAAAAATGTCAAAGTTATCATAAAATTGAATAATTGTCCAACCTAGGACAGATCTTGAACAATGATTAAAGACTTACAAAAAATAATTCATCTTTATATACATACATAGTAGTTAAGATAAGATAGTTAAGCAACATACACAATTAGTTTTTCATGAACTTGACCTGCATATGGATAAAAAAAGTCAAGATACCAAGTTGCTTTTACAGTTCATAATATCAAAACCTACAACTATGATCATAATGGGGTTTTACATAATGGATGTTTACATATTCAGTAAACCATCCCCCGGCTAAAAGATGTTTGAAACCAGCTAGAACAGAATGTTCGGGTTGGGAACTATTTATTGAGTTTTTCACTAATGAAAGCACGTTTTGTTTTTTCTTTGCAGAGGACGCTCGTACAGCAAGGACAGCCAGAAGAGTTCGCAGAGCGATTTGAGCTTGTTCGGCAATGGAAATGAAGGAGTGGCTGTGTCGCCAACAACCGCGACTTCAACGTCCTTGGCCGGCAGCGATTCAGCGAAGCCTTTGGCAAAAACTCAATTGCGTAAGTTTATATATCACTTGCAACATAATGATATAATAGATAATACACAATCCCGATCTCGAATGTATTTTATTTCAAATTTTCCTCTTATATGTCGTCCCCTTCGGCACTCAGACAATTTTAATCGCGTCTTAGAATCAACCTTATTCGTAAGACCTTAGAACTTTACATATCAGTTCTGAATTAAGATTTGACTACAAAAGAAGGTTGTAAGTACTTCGACCATAGGGGTTCATCGATACTAATGCCAATACTAATGGAAGTGACAGCCTTATCCCAGTATTATTAAATTCCACAACTAATTGTAAACAAATTAGGGACAAAATGTTGTCGTTCGGGGATCAGATTTACCGAAAATATTGGCCTTGCACTTAAAAAAATAGTCAGAAACCTAATAAGGTGGATACTATGGTTGTGGACCGATCTGTAGCGAAATGGCATTAAATAATGATTGCAGTGCATCTGGAATCAGATGTTCACAAAACAGAATATCACATACACGAATAATAAGTAGGTGTGAGAACATTTTTGTCCACAAAACTTGCCTTCAAATATATATTTTAATTTTTACCAAAGAAATTGTTAGTTCTCAATATAAAAGGATTTTCAAATTATAAGAAATAACTTAGCGTTTGGTAAATTCATAAAATACATTGTTTTCGGCTGGACAGAATAATAGCTGTGCCAAACAAAATATGTTAAACAAATATTGCAATTTTGTTATTTATGGTCCCGTATTGTACTGAATATCCGCCACTATTTTGATGATTTTTTCGATTCCTGGAGACATAAAGGATATCAGCTTCTGACAAATCTCTGAAGGGATGTTATGCCAATATTTTCCCATAAAACCTACAAATTTATTGGTAGATCAATGGGATGGTCTGAAAAGTGCGTAACAAATGCTCTCAGACCAGACAAATCCATCGAAACACGAGCAGCATTATCTGGCTGCTATCAGATTTTGTTCGATTTTCGAGTCACTTTTCCGGCAAATTTTTCAAACAGCTTCCTTGAGCCTTGCCTGGATGTTGCAAATTTTGTAAATTTTTTCGATGTAACGGTCATTATTCAGATTTCATAAAATATGTCTAACTTAAAAGATTTAAATAATAATAACAGAATTGCGTTTGTAGAGGAAAGTTGTACTTTTTAAATTAAACAGCAGAGATTCGAATCTTAATTTTAACTCCTTCGGGACAGAAAAGACTTGCTATACAAATAAATAAAATTGAAAAATAAATCATTTCAACAACTGTTGTCTAGCCCAAAAGTATGCTACAGCTTATGCCAACCTGCCATTCCCTTGTGGTGGATTTATCGTGGCTGTGGTGAACTGCTGCAGATCGTATTGCTGCCATTTTGAAACACTGCTTAAAGCAGCACATCAGAGGAAAAATAAATGAATGTTGCTGCAACATGTATGCCAAGAGAACTAAGAGTAGGTTTTGAAACTGTGGTCCCAGCTGAAATAGGTTTTTGATTTGTGTTCCAAACTACACAAAGCCAAAGATACGAACCGGCTTTTTAATCCCGCACTGTGATTTTCTTGTTGTTGCAAAGAGTTGGGTGCCTGAGGCAACAGCTGTGCGCCGTGCTCTGCTGCTGCTGCTGTTGTTGTTGTTGTATAGATACAAATGTATCCGAATCGATAAAACAGCACAGCCACAACAAATTCACATTTCGTGGGCCTGCATTTCGACATCTCTTTGGCGAGCTTTAGTCTTCTGGCGGGTTTTCAATGCGCCGTGTGTGTTTTGTAACGGGACGCACGCTTGTTTCTTGTGATGTCGCGATCTTTGAACGCCATTTGACGAGCAGTTGAGCCTCAAATGTTGGAAGATAAATATATTGAGTTACCAGGCGTTAATTATAAGACTCAAGCGCGAATTAAATCGTTTTTATTTCGCTTAGTGATATTACAATGCAAGTCAACACAGTTTAAAACTAGTAATCCGCTCTAAAAGTGCACAATTATAGAAGAAATAAATGGAATAACGATATTTTTTAAATCAAAAAAATTGAAATTAGACCGATATAATTGAAAATAAATATAAATTGATAATTTAAGACGCGTACTTAAAATACAAATTACGTGTAAATGCTTTTCTTTCACATCGACAGCTTCGTTTGTTGATGAAATAAATGAAGAAAAAAGTGATAGAGTAATGCTGTAAATAAAAACAGTGTAATTTACTAAGCAATTAATGGTGAAGAACAATTAAAGCCCACTAAACAGAATGCATTAATGCTAAGGAAATATATCATGAAGAAGGAAAACAGTAAAAAAGTCTCTTTGTTGCTATCAAAAATTTAAGTATTATTGCAGTAGAAATGGCAACCACCCCTATGTTGAATGCGCCAGCTTTATTTTAAGAAGCAAACCAGTTTTTCGACACCACAAATGCCGGTTGTTTTTTATTTAAAAAATACATTTTCAATTAAAACAAAGGCGCCTGGGATTACATACTCGCACTAGTTGGGAGAACAACAACGTCTGGCAGGTTTTGTTGCTTTGACGTCATATTTTTGCACACATTCTGTATGTATGTATGTACATACTACGAGTATATGTATTTGGAAGTCCAACTTTTGCTGACTGCAAAATTGTTGAGCATTAAATGTTAAGGTTGCCAGCAATGCTGACAAGCATAGCGACTGCTAGACGCCGAAGTTGACAAAGTTCTGCGTATGATGAATACTTAAGAGGCAGAAGTCAGTCGCATTCGACAACAAATCGCATTATAAGTAACGCGCCCAATCAATCAATCAAGCATTGAAGGCAATGCTATTAGAATTCGTTGCTTTTCAACCGCTCCACTCAGTTCGTAAATGTTGGTCGAGTTTCAAATGGGCTTCCCCCATGCTTGCTTTCCCTCTCTGTTCGCTCCTATACGAGTAAACGCGATTATATAGTATGTCGGAATCGGTTTGTTAAAGTTTGTTTTATGCTGTTGTGTTCTTGTTTTGTCTCTCATGAACTTTTGCACTGAGAGAAGCCGCAAAATTGTTTCTATTCCTCTTGTTGGTGCTGGCGAGGCGATGCGATGCGAAGCCACCAGCGCCACTGCCGGTACCGTTAGCTCTTGTATCTGCAACACGCCGAGTTCATTTACCTAGCCATGGCTAGAAACGTGCTGCGGATGGAGCTCTCTTTTGTACTCGGGCCCGCGCAGAGCTGTGGCTGGTTTGGAGCTCAAAGCTGCGATCACGCGCTTTCAGGCCATCCCGTGCGTCTCGCATTTAATAAGAGGAATTAAAGTCGAGTTGCGGGCAAGTCGGGCCCGCTTCTTCTTTTGTTCGCGCTCTCCGGTTGAGCGACACCTGCAAACGTGATGATGTCACTCTGAATGAAATTTTGGTCTTCTTATGCGTCTTATATTTTGAAATACCAATGGGAGCTCTTCCTCTCCGACTGTGTAAATCAATATATCAGGCTATCGAATAAATATATAGGATATGAGCAACACCAGCTACCCATGATTTCTTCCAACTAGAAACTTGCACCAGCAGTTTATACAAAATTTCATTGTGAAAAATATTGCTAGTGAAGAAAGCCGATTTGTATTATATAAGAAATGAAATGCGTACATATGTATATTCCCAGTATGTATCGGACTAATTGAAGTATAGTGATGCCTTTTATTGGAGTCGATGCTGTTCACAATGGGAACTCAAAACAAGGTGACAGTAACTTTAAGGAAACTGAACATACAAATAGTTTCACCCTAGAAGGGAGAATACTTTTATCTTATAAGGTGTGCTAAGAAGAAGCTTTAAAAGCCACTAAAAAATTGAAAAGCCTGAAGAAGTTTTATATAAAAGCCTCTTCGAATTTAAATGCCACCAAATGGAGCCCAAAAACGTTTTGCCTTGTTAATCAGATTGATCTGTTAATGTTAGATATTTGACACTTGAAGTAACTTTTAGCTAGTTTTGAGAATTTTTGGACCTTAAAAACAGCGCAGTAAAAACTAAAAACTATTATCGAATCTTTTTCAAATATCTCGCTTACCAGGAGGTTTTCTAGAATTGCAGCCCCAATCTTAAGTGAATTGTTGAAATGTTTGAATGACTTAAATAATTAAATGGTGTAATGAGTTAAATGAATTCTTTGGTCCGATATTATCTCTATACTACTACTACAAATTGTGCTTCCTTAAATTGTTACATTTGTCATCAAAATTAACTTCGAACAGAACGAATTACCGGGCTTCTGCTGATTCATATACGAAGGAAGTAACTGAGAATGAATAATTAATGGTAGCTGTAAATAAAAGATATTTGTATCTAAGGTGTCTTCTAAAGTTTCAAGCGAGTAAGCTCGGCTGTTTTTTGCGCATTCAGACTTTACTCATGCAGCGCTCTTCTAAACGTACTGACGTACTTCTAAGAACAGTTGTGCGGTATTCGAACTATGTTTGTCTCTGGCAAACGGTCACCCTGATGGGAAAATTGAAGCTGCGCCTGACTCCATTGGTGATGATGCAACCTGACTGAGAATGAATAATTAATGGTAGCTGTAAATAAGAGATGGTTATGAATGTATTCCTTTGTATCTAAGGTGTCTTCTAAAGTTTCCAGCGAGTAAGCTCGGCTGTTTTTTGCGCATTCAGACTTTACTCATGCAGCACTCTACTAAACGTACTGACGTACTTCTAAGAACAGCTGTGCGGTATTCGAACTATGTTTGTCTCTGGCAAACGGTCACCCTGGTGGGAAATTGATGCTTCGCCTGACTCCAATGGTGATGATGCAACCTGCGTGACTCGGCGCATTGCTCTGCTCAAGGTTTGCAGAGCGGTTTGCTCGGAAATGGCCACGACTGGAAAATCTTTTGCAGCCTGACAAGTGTTTCCGGCGACTGTGAAGCTGGCAATAGCAACAACTATGTACATACATACATAGATACTTATGGACAACAATAACTGCTACAAGCTCGCCTGCCACCTGACGGCGACTGCTCTATTATTTTCATTTGTGCGCTCGGTTCTTTCGCA